GCAACAAGGCACCAGCCGTATGGACTACTCAATCCCCTCGAGTTACCATACACCCCATGGCAATCAATAGCCATGGACTTCATTACCGACCTACCGGAATCCAACGGATGCGACCAGCTATGGGTGGTCGTCGACCGCTTCACCAAGATGGCGCATTTCATCCCCCTACCTAAGGATGGAAAGATAGCCGAGGATCTCGCGAAGATTTTTGCCCGCGAGATATGGCGCTTTCACGGATTACCAGCAGACATAGTGTCGGACCGAGACTCACGGTTTACCTCGGGTACATGGAAAGAATTCATCCGGCTGCTAGGCATTAGGCCCCGGATGTCAACAGCGTTCCAGCCACAGACGGATGGACAAACCGAACGCCTCAACCAGACGATCGAAGCATACCTCCGCTCCTTCGTCAACTACGAACAGAACGATTGGGTGAATCTCCTACCGATGGCTGAGCTTGCCTACAACAACTCGGTTACATCGGCAACCGGAATGTCGCCCTTCTATGCGAATTTCGGATACCACCCGTCGGCGACAAACCCTGCTGCGGCAAATTCTCTCAACCCCGCCAGCAGGGTCTACGCTCACTGGATGCATACAGTCCACGAGGAAAACATCAAGACCCTCGAACGAACGCGCGAACGAATGCGCAAGTATGCAGATCAACATCGTCAGGAGGCACCGGCTTATCAAGTAGGAGACTTGGTAATGCTCAATGGGCGGAACATTCAAACCCGCCGACCCTCGCGGAAGTTGGACCACAAGAACCATGGTCCCTTCCAAATCGAGAAGATCGTATCGCCGCTCGCTGTCAAGCTCACTCTGCCAAGGAAGTGGAAGATTCATAATGTCTTTCACGTCTCGCTCGTTGAACCGTTCCGAGCCGGCACCCGAGCACCACCGGATCCCTCTCAAATCTTACGAGAGGCCGATGATGTGGAAGGCAACGAAGAATACGACGTCGATGAGGTTATGGGCAGCTCGAAGAAAGGTCGACGAGTGCTCTACCTCGTCAAATGGCTCACCTACCCCGAACGACGGGACTGGACGAACGAGCCATTCGACAACTTCTCAGTAGGCGGTCGGGAAAAGCTACGCGAGTTTCATCGCAAAAATCCCAATGCGCCGAGGGACTACCGGCTCACAGATGAGTAAGAGTTTTTTCCCATGTGGTTTTTCTCGAACTCGGGCAGGTAGTAGGATGAAGGGGTTGGAGGACTTCATCCACAGTTATCAAGTTAGGATAAAGGCGAGGACTTGGGTGCTTCGGGCCGAAGCCTCGTGGGAGGGGAGATGGTGTGACACCCCGATAGGTATCGGAGGTCACGACGGTCGCAAGAGATGTGATTAGATAGTCCGGGTGATTAGAATGGAGTTGCGAGCCGAAAGGATAGTTAGAAGCGATCAAGGACAAGATAGGAAGGAGGGAGCAAACGGATTCCAGAGTCTAGACAGTGATCGGAGATACGGGAGATCGGGATAACAGTCCAGAGGACTTTGCGATCTCCGTTCATAGGGCCCCGCAGTAGGAACTCCGATCCAGGAAAAAACTGTTATGACGAGAGAATCGAACATCGACCGATGGGGGCAGACAACTTCGAGCGAAGAACTCTGCCGGCGCATGAGGGAGATAATTGCTTGGAAACTCCGATCTATCTTGGGCGCGTGGTGTTTACCACCTGCCTAGTCGAGAAGACTATCCGAAGAGAGCTGACGACGACTCGAGGCTAGGCCGCGGAACTCCGATGCAAAGGAAGCAACGGAGCTACGTTAGGCCGCACTCTAGAGGAATCACGTGCTGAGGATCGGAACGACTATAAGTCAAACCGAGCAGGCAAACCGAACCAAACTACAATCATCGCACCGAACAAACCATCAAAGAAACACCCTTAAGATTATTCCGTTGTGAATTATCGAAATCCCTGACTTTTATTCTATCCTCGACTTTACTATAGATTCCGACGACACAAACCCGTCCCAGTCTCACAGTTGCCCAGCGAAGAGATAGCTGAAACCGGACTATGCTCGGGTAAGGATTGGTGCGCCATACCTGCCTAGTTTGTATAAACTATCCTGAAGGCTTACGGCGACTCTGATGACATGGCGGAGAAAGTCTTCGCACCAAGTGCAGAGATTTCACGCCAGGGTTTCCATCCGGCAACAAGCTACGGCAACGGCTGGCACGTGACTCGACCAAATCACCCAACTATATAGACTTCCGACGACACGGCGAAAGATTCATCATCAGAATCAGCAACCAGAAAACCATCAACACTACCCCTTAATATTATTCCGTTTGTGAAAGAAAGAATACTATCTATTTTCATCTTTATTTTATTCTATCAATTGACTCCGACGACCATAATCGTTCCAGTCTCACACTGCCTCCCAACTCTCTCGGTCCTTGCACCGACCCTCCCTTCGCCATTCCGTCGCGAGCCGTGACATAATCCACACACAGGCGTAGGGAGCCGTCCAATTTTTTGACAAACAGGATTGGCGATGCTGCTGGAGAGGAAGAGGCACAGATGAAACCTTTGCTGAGGTTGTCGTCAAGCCATTCTTTCAGTGCGATGAGTTCCGTTTTCGAGAGTGAATACAGTGGTCCGTATGGGGGCATAAATCCCTCCTTGAGTGGAATCTTATGGCCGTAGTGTCGGTGCGGGGGCAGGTTCTGGGCAAGGGCTTCAGAGAGCAGCGGTAGGAACTGGTGGTATCCGTGAGGAATATGCGCCGTGGGGTCCTTGTTTCCCTGCAGTGCGCCATTGACCCTAGCAAGCGTGGTGTTGAAGATCGTGAGTGTAACGGCACGGTCGGGCAGGGCTCCAGGTAGCGAAGCCGGGCTGGGGATAGGGTTCTGGGTTCGGTAGAGGCAAGACGGGTTCAGGGGACAAGGTGAGGCAGGGCTCAGTGCAGACGGCAACTGAGAACAGAGGCAGGGACAAGGACTACGGCGCAGACGGCAGCCGAGGCAAGGACAGAGGTAACAGTGGTTGAATTAATAAGTTGTTGCGTGAAGAACTAGATACACAGGGGCAATGGCCCGTTTATATAGAAAATCCTCCACTTCTTCCCGCAACCTGACAGTGACCGTGGGCGTGTGCCAGACCCTGAGAAATCCACCTTGCCAGTACCCCGCTTCCGTGACTCATACCCTGCGCAGCCGCACTACCCCTCCTTCCAGCACACAGCCCCAATCCCCTGCGGCTCATTACTGCGCTATCCCTGCTCCCTGCACACAGCCCCCAATCCTCTGCGACTCATCCTTGCACTGCCGGTGCACTGCCTGTGCACTGCCTCTCAACTCTCTCGATCCTTGCACCGACCCTCCCTTCGTCATTCCGTCGCGAGCCGTGACAGTGAGGCTTTCCTTGTTGACCAGTTCTTGGAATGACTCCATCCGTAAAGCTGAGATTCTGACTGTGGTTTCCCTTGAAAGGTTAGTGCATTCTTGGTGATTCTTCCTTGGGGGAGACGTAATGCAGCGGGCCACGATGTCGCTGGCCGCTATTTTTTCGATCTACAGTTTGTTCTATCAAATTAGTGTTCACTGGATTTTCTGTTGAAGTTCAAGCTTGCAGATTTACTTTGTACCTTTTTTTGAAGTACTCAACAAACCTGACAATACAGCTGTTGGATTCTAGCTCTATTTTCACTTTGGTAAATTTCCAGAAGTCTTCCCTGATGTTTTTGCAGTCTTCCCTGATGTTTTTGTAGTCTTCACTGATGTCTTTGCACTCTTCCCTAACCTTCTTCTCTCTAACCAGACTAATGTGGTGCTGGTAGGAAAACAAATGCCTCACTCTATTGTTAGTGGCATTGCCGGTAACGCTAGTGGATACGCTATTCCTTCCGCACACCACGGCCCCTTAGTGAACAGCGGCAGCGGCGCTCTCGCTAGCTCGAGCGTCTATCCGACTACCATCACACCGATTCTCGCCGCGCGCTGGATATTGGTACAACAGCAACGTCTCGAAAGTGTCGCTGCGTCCCTCGAGAACCGGAACCCGGGAATCCTCGCCGCCGCTGCCAGCGGGCCACAGCAGACCGACCAAGACGTCGATGTTGATATCGAGATGCCGGATGTTGGCAGCGAGTTCGCTATCAATCGCGAGGCGGCGCAGTTCCTGCACGACATCGGAATTGACCCGCGACGCCTCGCTGCTGGAACAGTGGTGGCCCGCTTTCTGGAATGGGCGGCTGCGCTCTGGCTTTCCGGCGGTGGCCCTATGGAAGGAGTCACTGTCCATCAATGAGCCCGATCCGAAGTATTAGCTTGGCGCACGACATCCCTCTACTTGGGTGCTCTCGATTTCTTTAGGAGTGGCGGCAGTGTTGTGAAATTTCTCTTCATGTTTTCGCTCTCACAATCACTCGGTTCGGTATTTTCACTCAGCTGTCGCGATGTTTTTCTGTCATACGTTTCCTTTTCTTTCGCCGTGCAGTCTGTAGTGTATCCATTTAGCCTCTCATCTTCCGTCTTTACCGTTTATACCTCGGCTTTCTTATCATTCATTGTCTTTCCTTTGACCAGCACGGAAAACACCATACATTATTATTACGGTCTGATTGACTTGCCATCCGCTTACTTAGTTCTGGGTTATTGACATAAGATATCAGCAGTCGGTTGCGCTTCTGGCTGCATGGATGTACGGTAGATTGATCGAGGTTCAGGGGTTGTTTGATAAAATCTGGCGGAAATCTCGTCTCCAAAGATCTGGGTCTCACACAGCCGAGTCGCAAGGGATCACAGGCCACGTGAAAGCATCCAGCGCATCACTCGTATCATTACGGGGCGGTGACCGTGAAGCGCACATCAGGCCAATCCTCAACTAAGAACCACTCGATTTTCCACACATCCTCCTGCAGTAGCGAACTATAATTATACCAAGGTGCAACTTCCCGCAGATTCCGCCAAATGATTTTGCCATCGAGTGACCAGCTATTAACAAGAAATCTCACTCCATCCATTATCCTGCTTCCCAAAAGTCCTCCCAGATCCTCGCCAACACCGCCTACCAAAAGTCCAACTCCGCGCCGTAAGCACCCACCAAAACCCCCGGTATGATCGCCGCCATACACAGACCGATAAAGATGATCCTCCACTCCCAGCAACCCTTATCGCTCCAAATGTTCGACGGTTTCCCGTCGAATGTTCGTTTGCAAACGAAGCGGGTTCTTGTGGGTCGCGGTCCAATGGCGACGGCGGTCGGAGACGGAGAGGTGACGGCGGGTAACGTAATGCACATGCGTCTCTCGTGGGTGTGGGGTGATTTGTGGTGTTGCCGCAGTGAGGGTATGAGGGAAAGTTGGGGTGGTGTCCTCTGAATTGCCCAAAAGGGTCGTAATCGTTTTTTGGGGAACTATGATGAGTACGGTGGTCGTAACCGTAGGCTGCGCTTTGGGAATTATAGGGTGGATATGAACAGGGGTAGAAGTTACAGTAAGACCCCCCGACGAGAGCGGAGACAGTGCGACGACGTTCATTCGTGACATTCGGAATGGTTGCGAAGGTGGTAGGGTCGGCATTGGGGGATGAAGGAGCAGTTAGAATTGCTGGTGGTGATGTAGCGGTAAGAGTCGCTAGTGGTGATGAAGCGGTAAGAGTCGCTGGTGGTGATGGAGCAGTCAGAGTCGGCGGTGATGTTTGAACGGGGTGAGTTTGATTTGAAGATGCCAAGGCGGGGTTTCCAAGACGTTCTAGGTGTCCGTCCGCCTTTTCAACGACACACGATAGCTCTCAGATAGATTTCCCTATAAATTTCTAACTATCAGCCGCCAAGGCGGCAAATTTATTTGATTTGGATAGCGAGGAAGCTGAGCCCACCCCTCTCCTCCTCTTCTCCTTTTTGGCCTTCTTTGATTCCACAACCGCCCACTCGCCCCCATCAGCTTGTTCAACCGCATCATCACTTGGTCGCTTGCCATTCCCGTTGACTGGCGATTTTGCCACCGAAGACTCTGCCACCGAAGACTCTGCCACCGAAGACTCTACCACCGAAGACTCTGCCATCGGAGACTCTGCCACCAGAGACTCTGCCGCCGGAGACTCGTCACCTTCAACAGCCTTGACAGCACGCCAGTGACGCTCTAACGCGCTCCTGCCCACTGCTTTCATTTTATCCGTCGGTTTCTCGAAGCTGAACAAGAACACACGGCCATCGAAAAGATCAAGAATGTCGGGCAACAGCAGCAGACTCGTTTGCAAAACCTCCAGATTTTGCGCATCTCCGGAGATTGGCGTGCCGCGGGCAGCCAGAAATCGCAGCACCTCGCGCAGCAATAACAAGGAATACCATCCAGCCTGCGCCATGGCAAAGATGTGTATCAGCCCCCAGCTCCATTTCTGCTTTGTCTTCTTCGGTGGCGTCACACATGGGTCTGGGAGCAATATTCCTGCAATAGCGGTGAGCTCGTCGCACGATGGTACGGGCTGGCCCCGCTCCCTCATCACGGCGGAGATACTATCAAGTATGGCAGAGGCCCACCAGAAAGTGCTCGTATCGTCCTTGATGGCTTTAACAAACTCATCCAACCTTTCCGGTGCGTTGTCACACAGTACGGGCGATTCGGTGATCCTGGGTCCGCGCCGATACACCTCTTTCACTTCTCCGCCGCCAAACAGCAGAGTGTATGCAAGCGCTCTGACCGAACCGCCGATTTCCCATGCCGGTGCGCGCTGTGGATCCTCGTTCAGGAACGGAAAGTACATCGTCCGATCCGCCTTCCCCTTCGCCGCGAGATACAGCAATTCTCCAATCCTTGGTTCCTCCACCATCCGGATGACACCGCCCTCAGCCGGTAATGAATATTCTCTTGCAAACGCGGCCGGAATAGGTTCTACGCCTGCGCCCTGTTTCCTTCGCGTCTCGATCCTCCCCAGCCGGTCCAGGATCTGGCTAAATGATGCGGTCGCATCGAGCGAAGTCTGGTATGCGACATGCAACAGGGGATGTTTCAGCACTCGTGCTATGTCCGCGGGTCGCGATACGCGGGCAGCCACTCCCGACTCCGTGAACGACAGATCCTGCATCATGACGACGCCCCAATTGTCGACATCGTCTCCAAACACCAGGAGGTCCGAATCCCCAGTCAACACTATTCCGCCGTTCCGGATCGCTGCCGCCGCAAGGAAAGGGTCCGCCTCCCCTGGCACCGTTTTCGTCAGCCCCCTGTAGCTGTCGTGTGAACTCAACCACGACAGCGCAGCAGCAACAATAAATGGCGGTGCGGAGAGCGGTTGTGAACTCGATGTTACGGCGGCATTCGATTTTTCGGCCGCGAAAAAAGTCTCTGGCGATTCAATTAGGGACTGAGCGCCATGTCGAACTGTGGAGTTCAACGACCGATAGCGTGTGAGTTTTCTCAGCGATTCGTCAAGGCGCGATAGCCGTGTCGCGGTTTTCGACGACGGGAGAGCCGAATCGAACAGAATCTCTGCACTGGATGCAACACGTCAGCGGTGACGAGCCGGGCTGGGGGACAGCGGATAGGAGATAGAAACATTCGAAATCCAGAGGCTTCGAGGCGAGTGAGGTACGAGTTGTAGGCGAGGGCAAACGTTCGGTAGGAGAGCGTGGTCTCGAATGGGTTGCCACCCACGGCGCTGCCCGCACAGAAGATGAGGTGATAGATGTGGTGACACAGTGCTGGACCATCGATGTAAATAGGTGTTTTGGAACCGCTGGTAGAAGAAAAGGTCTCCGGGCGAGCAAAAGGAGTGAGGTGCGAGTAGAGGTTGCGGATCCCCATAGTTGTGGGACCGGCCCCAGTGCGGGGTTACGGATAGAAATTGTTGGTTGACAAAACGCCGGGTAAAGCCTACTCTACATACAAGCGTGACGGCTAGGATTAACGACACGAATACATGGAATTCCTGCGCCGTGAGGAACATGCAGTCAGTAGTGACGACCAAGTAGGGTTGTCGAATTACATGAAGTCTGAGGTCATGCGGTAAAGTGTCATGCATAGGTGTAAAGTGCTACCTGCCGCGGTCACGTGACCTCACATGGTATCACATGACATCAATGACTGCCATAGAAAGGTTGAAATCCGTAGAGGAGCCTAATCCGACAGTTGCAAGACGAAGGCGCAGCAGAGTAGAGTGGCAGGCGTGAATATTTGGGCAATGGTGCACAGTTGGATTGAGGTGGAGGTGGTGGACGAGCCGGTGGAAATCCACGAGTGGGGGAGCGAGGCTGCAAAGTCCGGCGCTTGCGAGGAGGTCGCCAACTGCGAGGAGCGGGAAAAGACGGACGAGCAGACTCAACCTGAGGAAAAGTTTCCCTCCGGAAAGAGTTGCCACAATATTGTGTTGAATCTATCTAAGCATGGGCTTCTCGGCCATCACGGTTCTATAGCAAATCGAATCTTGCTTGCGTCGCTCAACCGTGGCCCAATATTCGCTCTCGGATGTTTTTGCTAGAACACCGGGTCGGTCCAATGTAGTCGGCGTGTGGGTGAAAAGATTGTGTCGGGTCTCATTTTTTCCGTTCTCAAGTACGAATTGGCGGAGTGGCGGAGTCTAACCATGAGCGGGGGGACTTCACTCAGCCGACGACAAATGCTGTCCACCCATGGCCTTAGATGTGCCCCCGTTGCCTGGGTCAACCCGACGGAAGAGTAGGTTTGACTCAATACGCATCAGTAAGACCTGACTCCGCGCTGAGTGACTCTAGTACGCTCGCCATGTTCGCCGGTCGGTGCGTAGGTAGGAAGCGGAGTCAGTGGTCCCGGGAGACCAGCGCGTATCACTGGAAGTATCGAAGTGGTTGGACGGTCCCAGCGTGAACGTATCCTCTCATTTCTTTGCCATTCCTGAACTGAAAAGGTCTAGAGTAGACGGCAATTATATAGACCCAAGTCTTCGAGATAGGGCGGTCGAAAGAGACAGCCCTAGAATCTGCCGTCCCGAGCCTTGGTGCATATGTTATGTACAATACGCTGCTAGTTCGGCCAGCTAATCGGTTCCACCTCTCCAGATATATACTAGGCGAACAGCCTGCAGCACCCGTACTGAACGACTGACGGAACCACTGGGGAGATATAGGCGGCTCGGCGGAAATGAAAGAAGCATCACCACTCTGATATCATAGCAAACCATCCTGTGCAAGAAGGATTATTTACTACTAAAAGATCTTCAATACCTCACGTATGGTCAGCCAGGGTTTAGAACTACCCACAGAAAGCGAAATTCTGGTAAACTAAGCTTCTTTCCCTTGGCCTATCTATACACACACTCCCGTCGCCTTTGTTTTACTCGCAAATGTGCGATCGTTTCGGCATGTACATGATGCAGGATTACCAATCGCTCTGGCGGCGGTGAACAATAAGTCTTTCCGGCGATCTTCAGAGACCTTGCATACAAATTGCTGCCGCTCTGCATGTATATGCGTGCGAGGGGGTTGAAACGAAAGTATCCACATTACATAATATCACTCGGTAGGTGCAAAATCACATGCCCGGTCGAACACCGAACAAAAAGTCTAAAAGCACACCTATTCATGTATGGATGTACTCAGACTACGAAGCCGTGACGTGCCCTCGTACACAGGTGGGCCAAGATCCTAGTTTATGAAGCTGCGCCGTAGTAGGCACATCTTATGTGCGTCAGTCTGGCTGCGCGTTTCGTTCGAACTGTTTGGGGATTACAAAACAGTGTTCTGCTCTATAGGCGGGCCAGAACGTGGGGTGGGATGGAGCATTTGGTCAAAGTTGGATTAGCATACATCTTCCCCTCAGCTAACAGCTATCCGCCAAGAAATGTACCACCACCCCATGTCCAACTTTTCAGCTCCGCCCGTGCATTCAGAATCTTCAACCAGGCATTCACACGCGTAGAAAGCCTGTGCACCGTGCAAATTTGCGTTCTCGATCATAAATGGCATCAAGACAGACTTCAAGCACGAGCGATGGAGTGAATTGATGTACCCCAGACCTCCTTTGATCGAGAAGGCTCCGAGAGAGTGCGGTGCCGGCGTGCCGCTGCTACCGCCAGCGGGTAAATACCGAGAAGCCCTTGCTTCGCCGAACCCGTGAGCACCGATATCGATCGGGGTCGAAAGAACACTTCCGATTATAGGGCTGGAGAAAGGTTCAAACATAGACGTTCAGTACAGGTATACGAGAGACTGAGTCTCAGCAAACAAAACGACGCGCCGCGAACTTGGTTGGAGTTTTGCTGCCGCTTCCCTGCTTGCAACCCTGTGTTCTTCTCACCTGCAGATAGCCAATCGGGCTATGGCATGAGGAGAGGAAAATATGTGTGCTATGGTAAGGAGTTGGAGCGGCTGGCCGCCCGTCTGCAGTTTGCTTTTAAGCTAAGTAGCTGCAATCGGGAAACCTCGCAGTAAGATCGACCAGCTTCACAAGAAACGATGAGCCACTATTCCGACTTCCGCTTCCAAATATCCTCACACCGAGAGGTAGTGAAGGGGATTTGGGAGACTCCTCCATTCCCGTATGTAGATCCACAACTTCTATACCGCACCCCGATACCGAATGAGCTTCAGCAGGTGGATTCTCCTATACCTCCCATGTCCACTGTGGTGCTTCAACCGAGCTAACCGCGCTATGCGCTTGCTATCCTCTAGAATTCGCCGGCATATTCAGCAGCCATACCTCAGCAATGGACAGCACAGTTATTACCGAGCGGAGAGAGCAGGTTACCCGAGAATGTGCCAGGACCGCCTAGCAGTTCGGATCGGATGAATGCCGTTCAGCCATTAGCACATACCAATGGATTGGACCTCCCCGATGAGCCTTGCATGGACCGCAGGATGGAAAGCCCGAAGCTTGAGGACCTGGAAGATTATGCCCAAGAACCGCAGGATATGCCAGTGGTGCCGAATTCCCCTTCTTCCAAGGCGTTGCTTAAACCTAGTGCGATGCGTCCAACAGGCTCGAAGGATTCTTCATTATCTGCCACTGCTAAATGGAATAGCCGCAGAGGGGCCGTAGTAGGAACCACTGTGCCGCTTGCGGAGAGAAAAAGAAACGGGACCGAGGCCGCCAGGGATCCCCTAGCCCCGGTAAAGAACAAAGTCATGAAGAAGAAGCACACACCCCGCCAGGACTCTCCCGTTCCCAAGAAGACCAAAGCTCCGTATATCTTCCACTGCCCGTGGCCGAAATGTGGTAAGAGCTACAACAGGCCTGGCAACATGTTTCGCCATGAAGAATCGAGCCACATAGAACTGACCAGATGGATATGCGCCCTCAACGGACCAACCGATCAAATGACCGGAGAATGTGTGTACTGCCCGTATAGACATGATGAACCACTCCTGGATACCGCGGATGTTGCGGATTCCCCCACGTTGGCCCAGGATTCCTCATCGGACCAAGACGCAAAGGAAAAGGACATCCACAAGCCTACCTGGGATTGCCAATTCGAGGAAGAAACATCCCAACCCGCCTGGCGAGATGGCTGCGCGCGGCCAACTCCTCTCTTGGACCATGTCCGGAGACTGGATTCCACACCGGACGAAGCAAGTGGCCGTTTATCATCTGTTCCCGTCATGCCCAAGGATGGAGATTCTCAAGTTCAGGGATTGCCAGGAGTCCAGGATAAGCCTTATGGAGCGTGTCCGACTTTTACCACTCAGCCTACAGCCCATACCTTAGCGACCACCAGCTCCAATCGTATGTATACTCATACGCACCCCGGGATATTAACCCCTTCTGGACGTTCAAGGATAACATGTTCCGAAAAAGATGAAAGCCTTGTTGATGCTAGCCCCTCGCACGGCATGGAGAAGCCAAAGAAGCCAAGGAAGCCGTGTGGACGTGGGTGTGCGGATAAGCCGGAGGAGGTTCGTTCGTTTGGCCGGAAGGATAACTTTCAACAGCACATAAACCACTGCCATCCATATGTCAAGTGGGATCCAGCTGACAAGAGCTGGACGCGGGATGTCCCCCCGCCGGCGAAGTCGCGCTGTGGATTTTGCAAGAGTGTGTTTACCGACTGGGCCGAACGGAAGCGCCATCTCGCCGAGGAATTTGTGAACAGGCGGAAAATAGAGGAGTGGGAAGGGAATGGGTTGGGCTTCGAGGAGAATGAGGAGGAGAAGGGAGGTAACTTATCAAACGGCCTCGAATCACAGTGCCTCCCGTTTAATGACAGTGCTACAGGAATAACACGACAGTAAGACCTTTTCGGATGACAGTCTTCTCCCAGATACTTTGAGCACACAAAAACCCTGGTGGAGTTTGGCGGTGTTTATTTTGCCAGGTCCAATCTCGATGGAGATATTTTCTTGTTTCTTATTTCTCATTACTTTCTTATTTCTGTTGCTTTTTTTTCCCTTTTTCGTTTTCTTTTTCTTAGAACGGGACTACGTTTATCGGCAAGCCTTCGGTATGTTTGCGACGGGTTTTATGGGTGAGTTTTGGGCGGAGAGGGCGTCAGGCCAGATGTAATTGGAGGTGGCACGGTCATACATACTAATTTTGAACGATGGACCTTTCCAACGTTGGAATAGAAGCGATCGTCCTCTGAATTCTGAATTCAAATCGCCGCGTATCCACCGGACTACCGGAACAGTCGAGGAGGAATCCTTCTCCAACTCCAGTCACCCAAGAGCTGTGCTCCACAACCTCCACTGCCTACTCCACAAGTGGCGCCGATCAAATTCCCACTGTTCCCGTCATGTGGGGCTAGGAAACTGGCTGCCTAGCACCAATATCCTCCCGCCTCGAAAGGCAGAGGCGAGGCAACTCCCGTCCCTCAGCCGCACTACCCCGCATCACGATACCGGCTTGCAAATGCACCATCAAAGTTCAATATGCGCACTGCGCACCAGAGCGATCAGACAGCCAACGATTGACTGACATATATTCACGCGAACATCGGAGGAGTCGCCGGGGACGCAGAGTCGAGTACGTACGTGCAGAAAGCAGGAGTAGACGTACATAATGACTGTAAACCTGAGGTGTTCGACTGTGCGCGTGCGTGTGCGCACACGGGACTCCTAGAGGTGGACGGCACTTACCGCCCCTGGTTCGAACGCGTCTGCCTGGGTATGATGCTTCTACGCCGTGGAACGTATACCATTCCTATGTTCGGTCCATCCGCTGCTTGGGCCCCGCATACCGACTCACCCGAAAATGTGCTTACGATTAAATATAGCCTTGCACACACACTGGCGACGACAATCAGCACCGAGACCATTACTTACCAGATCCGCATGTTATGACACCTCGAGTACGCTCCCCACAGCCAGCTCCGAGATTAGGACCATCATGTGCGCCATTCTAGTTGAATTTATTACCACTCTGACAAAGGAACCGGCCGTATGGCCACGGGTGAACTTTTTCCACTGACCTCCGTGGCGAGAGCGAGCAGTTGTTTCGACCATTCGGCTTTGGCCTTCGGTACATATCTTGGTAGCCCTTGGTCATTTCGCTCTCCGTACCATAGTGAACTCGACCGCTGTGATTACTGCCATGAGGTGGAGTCGCATCCGTCGCGGTCCGAGTGCTAGTGAGAAGGTTATGTACATTTATACATAAGCTATCGCTCATCGAGCGTGGGTACTGGGGCGCGCGGGCGCGCACGCAAAAAAAAACTCCGTTTGGCGCCGGACGTGTGGGGTCCAAGATCCAATGGCAGGATGAATCAAGAATCCATCGGTGGCCTATGATTGATTGGTTCGTAATCTGCTGGTGGACCTGTGTGGTCCTGTCTAGACCTGTGTAGACCTCATCCTTCATCCAGGCGATTCGCGAAAACCGCTTCGATCAAAATAGGTATCAGATATCCCGCAATTTCGGCTACGCACGTTGACGTCCCTGCCGTCCAGAGGTCTATGCCGCCAGCCAGCCTTTGAGGTGATTGGACCACAGAGAACATGAAAGAGCTATCATAGCGCAGTGAATATCATGCTGGATCCGCTGCGGATAGTGTCTTCTCCTGCTGCTGCTCTCCACGGATACCATGCTGATCTTGCTATGGATAGCTCGCAGGCGTCGCTGTGGATATGGCGCTCTCCTTGCGGTGGTTCTCGCGCTGTCTTTATCGTTCGTCCAACGCAGATAGCTTTGTGGCGGAGCGTGTCTGTCGCGGGTGCACCAAGCACCTACTTTATGAGGTTCGAATTCTTGTCTCTAGCACGGAAAAAACCCCCGCGTAGTCTAGTGGTCTAAGACATGCAATCAGCGAGGGGAGTTGAGGGAAAGTCCTCGGTTCAGAACCGGGTGAATGCCTTTTTAGCTCTTGGGGTTTCTAAGCCATCCACCGGGGGTGGTGATAGTTTTTGTTTTTGTTTTTGCCGTGGAGCACTAGTGAGATATCACTCGGCGGCATCACGTGACACGCCTTTTGCTACCGGCTGTGAAGGCGAGAATACAGCCATGAGAGAGAACACCAATTTACTGTCGCATGCGGCCCGTTCGGACTATGGCGAACCCTTACCCGAATCAGTACAGCCCTGCACTATTCAAACCCGATTGCCCGTAGGAAACGGCGGAGGTGGGACGGCATATACTAGCCAGAGAAGCTTAAATCCGAGGGTCCAACTTGTGCACTGCTCTCATGGCCGATTCTCACTGTGATCGTGAGCCCTGCACCAGTGTTATCCAAGCGGCTTCGCAGATCAAGGAAGGGTTTATCAATAGCGAGATGAGCAGGGACGCGGTTGTGCGTATGTACTAAAAGTTTCGAAAGCCAACAAGACCAGGGACTCCTTACATTCACCGCCCGGCCAGCTTCGTGACTCGTCCCATGGTTATGGTTGCGCCTGCTGTGGCTAAATTTTTCGTTGAATGATACACCGCCGTGAACGGCGCAGCTTTTTCAAATAGTTTTCGTTTCTCTCGAGTCTCGTATTACATAATATGATCAAAGTTGAATCTATAAATAATTTCACCGACGCCGAAACAATAACCCAGTCCAAAACAAGACCAACAGCGCCCCATCTATATGCAGAAACCCAAAAAGTTGCACCAATAAAATAACTCCCTCAGATCGCCGTACCCAGTGACGCTCCTGTATCGATCTGCACTGACGGCGGCCGTTCCCACATAGTCACTCCGCCCCCCACGGCAAGAAACGTCGAACTCCGTGCCACACCCGTCTCCACATCCGCATCGGGAATCAGATTCTCCGTGCTTGCACATCTGCTCACCGACCTGCTCGCAGCCGCAGACCGACTGACCGCCACGAACTCCTCCACCGTGACCTTCTGCTGCAGTGCTTTCTGTTCTTTCTGTTCGGTACGGCGACTGCGGAAAACAAAGAACGCGATCACCCCAACAACGGTCATGAGGAGGAGCGTGCCGACGACTATGCCTGCTATTGCACTGGCGGGGAGTGTAGAAGAGGAGTTGATGGCTTCGCTATCAGATCGTTAGTGGTGGTGAAATCAAGGGCAGGTTGACAGCGACATACTTTGACGGGGTTGCGGATGGTGATGATAGCGTACCGACCGGTACGGTGCTGTTTGTCTGGCGGATATTGATGGTGTGCATTTTCTCTCGGTATGTAGTATGATATCTATCGAAGTTCTAGCCGTCTCGAGGGTGCTCTTTCTTTGAAATCTGTTATGAAGCTCTCGGATGCAGATCGGCGGAGACAACCATGACAGCTTATATCTTTCCCAAGGGCGGCTTTGACGGTTGTTCCGCTCCAGCAGCGGATGGTCTTCTGCGAATCCACAACCACTCACTCGTCTTCAACCCCCAGGAATCACTATTCTGAGGAAACGAAAGTGGCCCGGGCGACGTCAGTCACTCTTAGGTTCAAGATGAGCCTCTCTATTGCGCTTGTTGTCAAGAAAAAGCACTGCCTAGAAGAAACTAGCCAGCAAACGCACCAGTATAGAGTTGGTACCCTACTATATTCACTATTTGTAATGTGGGTATTAACGACGGAGAGGTGAAGTCATCACTTCCTTGTCAGACGTTACCGTGGCACATGGAATGGCGGTCCCAGGGTATCGGTTAATGCGGGCGGGGGGCCGAATATAGACCCCCGTGCTCGAGCCTCAATCAATCGGACACCGGGTATCAATCGGGTGGTGATGTGGCTCAGCCTTACGGTAGTGGTGCCTGGTGCTAGTACACGTACATAAGAGGTAAGTACCAGCGATAGAGATGGAGATCTACTGGTACCCGCTCACAAAAACGCATCCAGAAACGAGATTGCCGAAGGGCAACAATCTAGGTACCTAGGCCAAGTTGGCCGCTAGTGAAAGGGGCCATCACAGAGTGGAGTGGATAGCCTTTGTACACCAGCAAGTACGGCAAACGCCCGATATATACGTAGCGATCCCGGCTTCCCGAACAAACCTCGAGCGGAGGGTCCTGGAGCAACAAGTGGGATGAGGAGCCATCGTGGTGCGAACGAAGACAGCGAAGCAGCGGCTACTATACTGGTCGGATGGAAAGCAAGCCGGTTTCTACCTCGGCTATAGTACATATATAGGGCGGGAAATCGTATGATATCGCGGGTTTACTAGCGTAAGTCGGCGCATGCAGTCACCGGAAAGCGCGCATACGGTCACCGGAAAGCATCCGCAAGGGAAGATGAGTCAGCCGGTCGACAAGTGCTAGATAGTGGCTCATATACCTACAGGGGGTTCCCGGTGTCGCGGAAACCCGTTCAAATATTGCAGCAAGTGGTGGGCGGAGCAGAAGACGCGCTGGCAACAATTGGAACGAGATGCAACAGATAATCGACCGCGGCTCCGACACCACACGCAGGTGTGCGCACTGTCCGTAGACTCACGTTGCAGTGCAGCTGTCCTGAGCTTCCTCTCAGCCGCGATCTCGCTTGTGCGCCTTTCCATCTATGTGCGAGCTGCCATCGCGGAAGGCGAGCCACTCTACCGGGTTACGCAGTCATACTGGATCTATATATGTACCTATTTTTCTGGCTGGTCGTTACCAGGCTCGGCAGATAGACTATAATACCCAAGAATACACTTTCACTGGTACAGTGAGCTGATTAGAATAGAGTGTGGTTGCCCAGTGATGTAGCACGCAACTGGCAGTTTTGTGCCGAGTGACAGAGTGTGCCGTCTCGCTAAAGTTCACACTGTCTGTCAATGGGATGTGATGGATGGAAATGAATGTTCGACTTCGATATACGGCTTATTACTAGATTTTCTCAATTAGAGCCGGATTAAAAAGAAGGAACTGCGATCACCAGAGATTGAACTACCAGAGTACTGGTTTACCAGCCACGCGATGGCGGTGCACAAGCTACCAACGACTCAAAACAGAAGGAACTACCGTTGCTAATAACCTTACTCTTCGATAATTTTACGTGAGGATACTTCAAAATAACAGTAATTACTCTCACGCACGTTCGAAATCCTTACGAAGTTTCCTTACGGAGATGGAGTGGCCCAACTTGAAACTAGGCTATGTTACATGAGCTGCGATGGAGACGCGTTGAATTGACCCGAAGCTGCGGGATAGGTACTCATCTACTAGGATTCATAGTGCGCATATATGCATGCACATGTCCGAGTTCCCGTCTGCTTCGACCCCGCAGTCTCGAATATTACACCTTACTACCCCACAGCATCGTCCCTGTGATTGTCATCCATCTCCTCGACAATGCAATCCTCAACCTCCCCGAAGACGGAGGATCTGATTCTGTCTTCGGTCCTACATGGGCCCAAAGATCTCCGCATAGTATATACCGCCTCACTCATCCCGCTCACTCCAGCTCCTCCCTAATCGCTAAATTCGTAGCAAAAAATCGATCTCCCGCCACCAAAGCCGGATGAGCTACAGATCCAAATCCGCTCGACGACTCTCTGCGGCTCTGACCTACACTACTACAACCACTACCGCAACGGTGACATCATAGTCAAGCACCCGCTGAGTCTGGGCCACGAATCCTCCGGCTGTGTCGTCAGCGTCGGCACCTCGGCGTGGGGCCAAGGCTGGAGACCCGGCGATCGCGTCGCGCTGGAAGTTGGAATCCCCTGCGGCGACTGTGCACGCTGTCTGGAAGGCCGCTACAACATCTGCTCGACGCTCAGCTTCCGCAGCAGCGCAAAATCTACCCCGCACCACTGGGGAACTTTGCAGGAGCGCATCAACCATCCCGCGAAATGGTGCCATCGGATTCCCGACGAGGTGAGCTTTACGCAAGCGGCGCTGTTGGAGCCGCTCGGCGTTGCACTGCACTGCACCCGACGCACCATCAAGAACGGGTCTCTGGTTCCCGGGGCGTCGGTGCTGGTTATCGGTGCTGGAGCGGTGGGAATGCTAATCGCTGCGGCGGCGGGCCTGGCGGGAGCGTCCACGGTGGTGATCACAGATATCAATGCGGGCAGAGTGGAGTTCGCGCGGCAGCACGGATGGTGCACGCACAGCCACGTGTCGCAACGATCGCCGCCAGCGAATGCCGCCGACGACGACAAGCTCGCACCGGCGAAAGCCGCTGCCGCCGAGATCTTGGCGGTAGCTGCGCGGCCGGGCGGTGTAGATGTGGTCTACGAATGCACGGGGATGGAGAGCTGCGCACAGACGGCGATCTTTGCGGCGCGGCCGGGAGGAGCGGTGATGCTCGTGGGCATGGGAACGCCCGTGATGACCCTGCCAATCTCGGCAGCCGCGCACAAGGAAATCGATATTCTCGGCGGGTTCAGATACGCCAATATGTACCCGCTTGGCATTGTGCTGTTGGGGTCGGGGAAACTCCCGGGATTGGAGGAGCTGGTGACGCATACCTACGAGGGTCTGGATAGAGTCGAAGAAGGGTTCAAGATGGCGGGAAGAGTGGCCAGTGATGATGGAACTCTTGTAGTCAAGGTGGAGGTGCAGTTTAACAGCACGTCTTCTTAAGGCTGATGTTGCCGAGTGCCGGGAGAGTAGTGGCTGCGGCTTCATAGCGGCTTTAAACCATGCTCCGAATGCGCACATACGGTACGATACGGCAACACCAGCTGTTGCTCGGGAAGACTTTCAAGTTGATTCTTGAATATTGGCTTGAATCGACTTTGATGTAAGACCAGTGTGTGACGGTTAATACGAGAAGATGTTATGAGATGACTACCGCTCGGCGGCGGTTTTGCGGGCGTGGCTGAGCCCCCGGACCAGTTCCCATGATTGGTCAGCCAATCATTATATCCCCGCAATCGTGATCACAAAATCCGCAGAAGGTAAGTGGATGCACAGCGAATCAAACAAAAAACCATACCCAGGCTGGCGTCAGGCAGACAGATCGTCAGGCATTGAGAGTATGTGGGACCACGGGTCTTTCCCCCCGTGTAGCTAACCATCCGCTGTGTTGCCTGCAGTATGGTGCCATTACTTCTGGGCATACGCTGCTATGATGCTACCTCCTAGGTTTTGTAATTTCACTTCACGTGACTGATAGGTGCTCAAGTCTGGGTGCTGGGTTGCACTGAAAGCGGCCATTGGCACCCGATGTTTCGCTTCCAATAATATTTACATACTTGATATTTACACGGAATTGAGGCACTGCCCCGTGGTACGTTACGAAGCTGCCATCCTCACCCTAACCGCATCCTGCTCCTCGCCCATTCGAGCTGCCAGTAGACTCGTTCTCTCCTTCTCCGCTAGAGCTACCCAATTCATCTCAGCCACCCAGATCTTTGCTACCCGCATCCGCTGACTCTTGCCGACATCCCTTTCCAACTCCGCCTTCCTCCGTTCAGCCTGCCTCAGTGTTTCCACAGCGTCCGCCGCAAGCCTTCTTCGCGCAGCGTTTGCTTCTTGGCTATGCCTTGAGAGCAGCTCCTCCAGCTCCAGCACATTGGCGGCCCTAAACCGGTCTACCAGAACTTGCTCTCGTTCCGCTCGATCGGGCTTTCCCTTGAGATATCGCTGCAGCGAAAACCAATAGTCGTCTTCTTCCTTTTCGTGGCGATCCTGCATAGACGATGTCTCTTCTTCGTGGCGGGTCTGCATGGTCTCGATACTCGCTGCCAGTGCCCCCTCCATCTCTAGAATCTTGATATCCAGAAAACTGATCATATTGTCCATTTCCACTTTCCACCGCGTCGTGAGGCTATCTTTGAGGTCCTGGTGTCGATCCTCGATCTTGGCGCGTTGCTCGGCGCACAGAACCTTCACCGCCCCAATGAGCCCGTCGTATCTCTCTTTGGTTTCCTGCAACGCCGCATCGATCTCCTTCCGTCTCTTGGCCGCCTCACGCTCTTTCCTCACCTGCGCTATCTCCGAAGTCCGTTTGTTCGCTCGCCTCGCCTCATGCATTTCTGCTGTGACTCGTAGCCCGCGAACCTGTGCATCAGCCTGGGGGATAAAACGTTCCTGTGCCGCTTCAACCCGTCGCCGCTCAGCCTCATCCGAGCTGTCTACCTCGGGCTCCTCTATTCCATGTATTGGGCGCAGCTCCGCAGCGTCGGCCGAGTCGGCCGCCTCAATTGCCGAAAGAATCAACCGTCGCTCCTCCACCGCCGCTGGGTCCATCGTAACCACTGGTCGCGTGTACACGGGTTCGGTGCCGGTGCACTCGCACGTGCGCCAGCGTGCCCCGCAGATGTAGCAGAACTCGGCTTTGCAGCGGCAGCGCCTAAGGAGAGATCGGATACGTTAGCGGCAGGTTAAGCGACACTGGGGTTGACGGGGGAGGGTTGACGGGGGTCCGTACATGTGTCTACACCCGCTAGAGAGCTCAACCATCGCATGGCACTTGTAGCATCTCCTCCAACCGCATCTCTGCGCCACATCCATCACCGCGACCAATCCCGCGTCCTCCGGACACTCTGTGCCAGCCGGGTGCATGGGGCCCTTGCAGTAGCGACACAGTCTGTGGTGGCATTTTTTGCAGCGAAATACGTACGCCGTGCCGATCGATTCGATCAGCGCCGGCGGGATCCATGCGCCACAGCTGGGCCGGGGGCAGAAGTGCCGCTGCTCCCACGGCACTTCGTACTCGGGGGCTTTATTCTTGTAGAGGGACCGCTCGGCGCGCGTCAGGACCGAGTTGATGGTTGCCGCCGGGATCTCGTTCAGACAGCATTTCGGGGGGAAGAGGGCTTCGTCGTTCAGGGCGGTTCTATAACGCTGTCAGTAAATAGTTAGGTGAGGGGGACTGAAAGGGGCGGGTACGTGATCAACGTTCGAAGACATGTACTGCAGTATTTGTGTTGGCATGGAAGAGTTGTCAGAGTCTTCACACGGTGATCTTCGAGACATGAGACGCATTCACTATTGATGTCAGTTGACTGATCAGGATACTATGGGATGAGGAAACCGGTATCCCTCACCTTTGTTCTTTCCGACTCTTGAGGTAGTTCTTGATAGCCTCCCCACGAGGACTCACGGGCTTCAGTATCTCCGGCCGCGCACTTTTGGGCAATAGACTGAAGTAGGCCGAGTAAGCCAGGTCTTCTGTGGTCGCGCCTGAATGGTCAAACGTTCGCTGTTTCCGCACCACGGTCCCCCCGCTCGTTATATTCGTAGACGCCAAAGATGCTGAATCCCCGGAGGTGGAGGAGATCGAACTCGCAACCGCAGCGCGGCGAACGTGAATACTCGAGAGCTTACTTCGGATGCTGCGTATGCCGCTTGATCCGGTGGCAGCCGTTATATTGTCGCCGCTGGAGTCGCCGGATGACGAGTATACTGATACGGTAGGGCTGGTGGGTGCCCCCGACGAGATTTCCGGCTCCGGCACCTCCGGCGTGAGGTAGTATTTTTGCTGTTCGCACTGCACGTCCATCTGGATCTCCTCCGGCTCATTGCCGCTGAGAAACAATAGTTCGGGAGGCCGTGGGAATGCCATCCATTCTTCGACGCCCATCTCTTCGACGGCGTCAAAGAAGAGCTCGCCATCGACTGCTTCCTGGAGCTTACGACGAAGTCCTTTCAGCTGAGCGAGAGCCATTTCACCATCAGACACTTTTGATTGCGTCATGGCTGCATTCAGCCCCACCTGTGGCTCCTCCGCCGATTCCTTCGCTGTCACAGCCGCCAACGCTGCTGCTGCCGCCGCCGCCACTGCCGCAGGAAATCCCCAATTGATGCTGTTCCCGCTTGAGTCGCCAGTAGTCGATGTCGCGAGTGCCGTAGTCGCCATAGCCGTAAGAGGGTGCTTCGATGTTTGAGCTGTTTGTGTCGAACCGTAACCTGAGCTACGACGTTAGCCAGCGAGAAGTGGGTACCACAGTCCTCTTTAATAGTGTGCTGCTCATCCCTTACCGCATCCTCCGGCGCAGGTATTCCTGTGCACCTGATTTTCGATCGCCAAACGAGCTCCACCAGTTACCTACCCATGGCACTTCTTGCTGCGGGACATGCCGCGAGTTGAATGAGTGCATCGACAACTATGGGGGGCAGTGCAAGAAGCTGTTCGTCACGCGAAATGCAAAACGATTGGCTGGGACGCCGTCCAAGCAAGAGCTGGGCTGTTCAGCAACTTCACCCCTCTCTGCCGATGGAAGTCTCCTGTTCACTCTCCGCCAAGGCTAACTCGGGCGCTCGACCAGGCAGATGCGATTCTTCGTGTTGGCATCGAGTGGGCAGATCAGCTACCTACTACCTACTCGGCGAAGAGTTGATCCCAGTGGGGCGGGGCGGGGGGCTCTTGCTGCATGGAAGTGGGGCGCAGTTTGAAGATCGCATACACGATACGAGGGCTGGGCAGCCTCAGGTTGAGGTTATCGCCGGCTAAGTATGAAACTTAGCGGCGCGCAGTGAACCTTCAGCTCCATCACTCGTCGGCTGACTCGGCAATGCGCGTGCGCATTCCCATCCAATCGCCCCGGCGACCAGTGTCAGCCACCACTCGTTGTGCCATCATGTGGGCACTAGGAACAGCATTGGACGGCTCGTTCGGCCCTAAGTATTTATTTCGCCTGGTACGGTCCTAGATATATTCAACAGTGCCCGTCCACGGTTTATGCCATATAGCCCATCCAGAATTCAAAGAAAGCTGCCCTCCACGAACCACGTCATCACCACCACTGGAGTCCCGGATAATCCGGCATTGCTTTGCGTCTGCGCAATGCGCATGCGCAGAACCATTCCGGTCCTAAACTCCATCGAAATTGGAGTGTAAGGAAGATACGCGAGATGCACGTTGCATTCCGACAGCAGCACTGCCATCGACTCTCTCGACATAAAATGTACATACATACATTTTCCATGTGGGAGTCTTCAGGGTTCGTGGCAGCTTCAGTGGAGACACGTTATGTAGCGGTGGGTGACTTTCGATAGTACCTCCATGCAGGTTAAGCGAAACCGGGCGCACCGGGCAGTTTTTTTATCTCATTTATTCAATCATCTCTGCATTCGACATTATTAGATCATGGCAGTTATGTAGAGCACATATCCGTTTTCTCCCGACTCTCTCCGATCGCGGGCCAGGAGCTCGAACTTTGTGGGGGAACCCATTGCCCTCCGTCCAATCCCATGCCGATTGTCCCAAGGAAAAGTACGAGCAGAAGCAAAGAAAAGGAAGAAGGAAAAAAAGACAGAACCAGCCCCGTCCATGCCCCGCTCTGCGCCACCAAATCGTCCAGTCCTCGTCTCTCGAGTCCGTGTCCGTTTCTGGTTCTGTCGTTTGCTGTGCCCCGGCTATCAACGCATCCCAACGGGCGTACCCAGGTGAGTGCAAGGGCTAGGGGCAGTGCGCGTGCGTGTGCGAGTGATGTCTTCATATGTTCAGATTGAGTGGGGCCGGATATTCTAGCTACAGCCGCTAGAATTTTTATTAGTAATGAGACCAAAGATGACATGAAACCAGTCTGGTTGGCTCAGTTGGTAGAGCGTCGGTCTCATATTCTTCAGTGTGACTCCCACTCAGTGGTGGTAATCCGAAGATCGCGAGTTCGATCCTCGCACCGGACATCCCTTTTGCTGAAAGAGCGAACGATGCATGCCACCATCTCCCTCGCGCCTCGCTGCAGTACATGCCGAAGTGACGGGCTTCCCTGCGTGTCCCGCACGACTCTGAGCACCCTTGGGTCATGGGCGACTCTCAGACAACTGTCATGCAGCATAGGCTCAGAGGTGGAGAAACACTTGTGACTCAAGAAAGACCATACCTAGAGTTGTTCGGCAGAAAGTTTTGCCCAACATCCTTTGGTGACTGGTCAAGGTGAGGTCGGTAATTTATGGCCGAAAATAGACAGGTTGCCGACATCCGGGATCTAGCGGGGAAGCTCACATATCAAGAGCTATGTATCAAGGATAAAACCCCTCATCTCCACACTTCACCATCACGAACTCGATACCATCCACAATGACCTCCGCTTTCGACCTTACCGGTAAGACTACCCTCGTTACCGGTGGAACCCGTGGCATCGGCAAAGCCATGGCGATGGCACTCGCCGAAGCCGGGGCAGACATCATCTTGGTCCAGGTCCTCCCTCGAGCTCCACCCTAAATATTTATAACCGCTAACTCCTACGCACCTACAGCGTGACGGACTCAATACCTCAACCTGCGAAGCCATCCAAGCGCTGGGCCGGCAATGCGCCATCGTAACCGCTGACCTTTCCGACGCCGCTTCGGTCTCCTCGATCGTTCCGGATCTCCTCTCGAGACTCTCCTCACTACCCAACGGCGGGATCCACATTCTGCTCAATGCGGCGGGCATCCAGCGTCGCCGCGCAGCACATGAGTTCCTGCAGGAAGACTGGGACGAAGTGCTGCAAACGAATCTCTCCAGCGTGTTCACACTATGCCGCACCGTCGGCAATTACTGGCTCGCGCACAAGATCCACGGCAGACTCATCAACGTCGCGAGCCTGCTCAGCTTCCAGGGCGGGTTCTCGGTCGCGGCCTATACCGCGTCGAAACATGGTGTTGCGGGAATCACGAAGGCGCTGAGTAATGAGTGGGCTGGGAGCGGCATCGGCGTTAATGCTATCGCTCCTGGGTATATCGCAACGGATATGAATGCCGAGTTGCAGAAAGACGAGGTCAGGAATCGCCAGATTCTGGAAAGGATACCCGCACAGAGGTGGGGGAAACCCGAAGACTTTAAGGGCCCAGTAGTGTTTTTGGCGAGTGAGAGGGCGAGTGGATATGTCACCGGTGAGACGCTGGTGGTGGATGGTGGGTGGATGGCGCGGTGAGGCGAGTAACTGCAGCAATAGAAGAACAATGCAGTTCACATAATATTTTTCGGGTTGTGGTGCTCGGAAATTCACACATATCTGAACAACCAGTTACTAAGTGAGCAATGGAGAGACTTCAATCAAGATAACTCTACTTGAAGATATTCTTGAGCCATAAAATCGTCACTCCGATAGCCGCTACCGACCTCCATACCGAAGACACTAGGTTATCCCCGCGGACTCTGGATCTATCCTAACCATTACCTCTTCGAGGCCGTCGGTAATGGATACCGCGGTCGCGCAAATCCCTTTCCTGTATCTCCACAGAATCAAGAAGGCCTGACGGTTTCCCTGCTAAGATTTGTCAATAGCCAGGCCTAAGCAGACTCTAGTTTCTATGGTGCAGCTTCAAGCAGCTAATGGGTTGGTATCCTCCACCAAACCTGGCTCTTGAGACGATACCGGCCAACTGTGAAAGTGATAATCTATGAAGCAAGCGGTTTGGTTCTTCCAAAAATCCCACTAGTGACGAGACCTAGTAATACTAGGAGAGCTATTCTTGCCGCCCTTTGGAACCGAACCTCCGTGGGTTATCAGCGGTTCCTCCCAGAGCAGATGCTTCCGTGGCTCACTACCGGAAGTCCAAGGACGCGCTCTGAGCTCGCTGGGAGGCAAATCAACATAGTGGAAGCGGTTGCTGATCAACCATTAGCACCCATGTGCCAGATAAAGACTATATCCTTCTCTTGGGACAAAGTTCAGTGTATGTACTGTCTTGGAACCAAGCGATCTTTGCGTAGGATAAAGCGATCATACAAGCCTGTCCACACACTTCGGCTCGCCCACGTAACAATTGAATCCAGCTAGCTAGATGGAGCAGCCTCGGAGCCGAGTTGATCTTACCAATATTTCGGTTTTAAGCCGTCGGGTTTGCGGGGATCCGCAAAACGTATCGCGTGCCAGGTTGATTAAACGGACTTGGCGGAGTACTGCTTTCGCGCCTTCTTCCCCAGAAGCTGAAACCCGAGGATTTAAGCCATACTTTCGAGATTATGGCTTTGATTGTGTGGCATATGTACCCCAGATTCTCGGTTGTCGATCTACATCACGGAGTGTCACTCTTGCTGCCGACGGTGATCCTAGTTTTTTGATCCGTGAAGGCCCAGCCAGCGGTTAGGTCGAGCCGATGGATGAAGAATGTGTTAATTGGTTTCAGCCAAGCTGCGAAATCTATGACGGAAAAATGTTTCCCGGCTTGGGAGGAATAATGATGATCACGATGGATACCGATAAGCATCTCCATTATGGTCCCTCGCGGCGAGATCACCGGCAAGCAAATTCGGGGACACCTACTTTAGAGCATGAAGCAGCATATAAATACGACCTCACGCTCCCGTCCTTCAAACTTCTCATCAAGCCTTCACACCACACCGACTACTCCATTCACTCATAAATTCACTCGCACTCCCTCACTCCCTCACTTCTACTTCTTTTTCAACCAGTCAACCAACCTTCACAATGATTCACTTCCAGATCATCCTCGTTGCCCTCGCCGCTGCCGTAGCCACTGCTCTTCCGCAAACCGCTCCTCCGTCTGATGGTGCCCCCGCTAGCATGCCTGAGATCCCGCAGTGGTAGGGAAACATAATCAATCCAAACATCCTCCCACATCCCCCACCGTTAACCCCCTTCATAGCGTGATCGACTGCATCATCCCGGCCGTCAAGGAGACCGGCTGCAAGATCGGAGGTAAATCAATCTCCCCCAACCCTTTTCGTTCCACTGTGATAAGCACGCCACTAACGGAAAATACAGACGGCCCCGAGTGCCTCTGCAAGAACGAGACGTTCACCAGCAGCGTGCTGGCGTGTGTCACCGCCGGGTGCGAGGACCCATCCATCGTCGCCACCTTCACCGAGATGTCCGGCAAGGGATGCGAGCAGTACGGAGGTGGTGTGCCCACCGGGTACTAAGCAAGAGATCTAGACCCAGGAAGGGCGGAGAGGGTAAGGACTGCTGGTTGATCACTTGCGCCGGCGGATGGATGAAGCTAGCTACAGAAGATGATGGAAGATTGGAACGATAAAAGAACCCCTTGTGGGCCTCGTTTGTTGCTCCAAACATTTGTGCTTTGTGTTTTGCTCGTGCGATGTGAAAATCCATATAACTGGGTCTATCGAAGCATGGCTCTGGCTAGTGGGTGATTTATACCGGTAATCTCCTCACGATGCAACTAAAATGACGATGTTTTTCAGCCTATTTAGCCGTCTGGGTTTTTGTGACCACCGTTTTGCTTCCTTTGCACGTAATCTCACTCGACCGCTGCTTCGCCGCGCAAAACATTTAAGACTGTTTCGCTGCACATGGCCTCGCCCTGCAGCCACGTAACTCACAGTTGAACCATATCAGTAGGTCGAAGTTGGTTTTGATGAGTTGATGCGCCCCCGGATCTACATGCACGCGCATGAACGATTGCCGATCTTGATTGATTGCGTGCTCAGTCATTGCCTCGACGTATCGGCTGCAGCCTGTCACGGTTCGTTCGCAGTCGATCGCACCTCTGTATGAACTTTTAAGGCCGTGTTCTGGCCAGTAAGGTACCCCATTGGCCCACTTTATTCCTACTATAATACAGGAACCCGGTGAGAGTTCGAAGATCATTTCTAGCAATGACAATAGGTGCCAGCTGCATGCTTTTCGTGGCCAATCCCCGTAGAGGGACAAAAGGCTTGTTTCCCCATCCTTAATCTACATGCAACACCGGCTGCCACTACATATTCTCCGCGGATTCCACGGAAGCTCGCCCGACGCTCGTATTGCTGCCGAATACCGGGGTATGTGTGTACCTGCATACATAATCTGAGCCTCTTTGTCGTAACACTTAAAAAGTATATAACCACATCATACCACACGCAGATATATGTACCAAGCCACTTCCCTCAACTTAGATCTGACACTGTAAGTCACTTCTACGGCTCCAGCCTCGGAAACTCGGCCAAGCAAGGTATCTCAGTAGATTACGCCTCATCAATCTTAGATCACCTCTGTTGGCCGTCGGATCTGGCATCTGGACATTGATCAACCTTGCCCCGCCATGTCTCCTGCTACATAGCCCGTCCCAGCAACCAGACACAAGGTTCACAGCCCAATACCACTAGTAACTAATGCTCCTCACGCTCTTTTTCCTCCTGCCCCTGCAGTTGCTTAGCGTCGCCGATGCGCAACAAGGCTTCAACACATCGGAGTTACTGGTGAACATTCTCGACGGCCCGGTGCTCGGCCACTGGGCGCCGCGTGCTCCGGGCACGGTTCGCGAATTCCTCGGGAATACCGTATGCCGCGCCGCCGATAGACAACCTTCGGTGGAGCCCGCCCGACAAGCCGGACGCGTGGACGGCGGCCAGGAATGCGAGTCGCTTCGGCCCGGCGTGCTACAACGCCCCGCTCTTTGACTTTGAGAACTTTACTCCGCCGGCGGAAGAATCCGAAGGTTGCGTACGCTACGTGGCTATCCCTTTGCGTTTCGGCAAAAGACCGCTGACGAGTGCGGAGGTTGTCCGTCAATGTGTGGGTGCCCTCCACATCGCGCCTGAAGAAGGGGGATCCGAGGCCGCGGTGATGTTGTGGGTTTACGGCGGCGGGTTTTCGTTCGGAGGTTCCTATCTACCCCTATACAACGGAGCATCCTTCGTAAGGGACCAAGATGACGTTATTTTGGTAACCTTTAATTAGTATTTTCCCCGCACCACTGAGCTTTCCGTATCTGCGGTTGACAGATAGCTAACGCTCTCCGACGCAAGTCGACTCGGCCTCTTCGGCTTTCCGGGTGTACCCGGTGACGGCATCTACTCCGACGAAAAAAATCTAGGCCTCCACGACGTCCGCGCAGCGATAGAGTGGACATACGACAACATCCGTGCTTTTGGCGGCGTATGTTCCCCACCCTCCCCCCACCCCGCCCAGTCATCACCAGCTCACTCCCCCAGGACCCCAAGAAGATCACCCTCTTCGGCGAATCCTCGGGCAGCGCCGCAACCGACGCCTACCTCTTCTCATCAGCCTCCGGCCCCCTGACAAGCGGGGCAATCCTCCAATCGGGCACTATCTCCATCGTCGACTCGGCGGCAGGCAATCACTCCGCGTGGGCAAACCTGACCGAAGCGCTGGTGTGCAACTCGCCGATGGCGTCGTACGCGGAGGTGATGTGCTTGCGGGCGTACCCGGAATTGCAGCTGCGCGATACCGTCGTGAAGGTGCAGCTCACGTTCGGGCCAGTCGTGGATGACAGCACGGTGTTCAGCGATGCGCGGGAGCGGCTGGAAGAGGGACGGTTCACGCGCGTGCCGATACTCATTGGCAGTAATGACGAGGAGATCCTGGAAGGGAGTTTGGCTACGAGGAACAGCTTCACGTGTCCGGCGGCTAGGAGCGCGAGGTTTCATGCGATGTATGGCAGCGAGGTCGCGCAGATCTTTGGGACTTTTGAGCAAGAGAGTGCGTTGCCGGAACAGAAGGATAGCAGTAGATACATTCAGGGTGGGTTGTGGAGGTCTCTCGGCCGGTGCAAGACTAATCGTGGACAGGTGCGTGGGCGGCATTTGCGAAGGATGCGCTCAATGGGCTGGGGAAATATTGGCCTAGCTGGGTAGGCCCCCTCCCTTGTTCAACCGTAGGTGCGCGGTGCTGACAGAAGGATAGCCAACATATAATAGGATGGGGAGGTCATTGGTGAGGCTTGCATACAACAAGTAAGTCAGTCTCACCAGCCGGCGCCGAGGAAATCACCGATACTGATGCGGTTTTGTAGCCACCCGGGGCCACATTCACAACTCCGTGGAATTACGAGTCCGGCTGTAATTTCTGATGGATGGCGTTCGTGAGGAACATGAATGGCAGGAGTTATTGCTGGATTCAACGAGTAACTGCACATTGACTATCAAACTACCAGCTACGATCACCCATGTTGTGAACGAAAGGCCGCCCCAATTATAAACAAGTCATAAATACTCAATTACAACACATTACACCACATACGCGGCTCCTTAAGCACTCCCAGACTCCCCCGGCCCTCCCGGCCCTCCCATCCGACTCTCCACAAGCACGATCATGTCGTATATTCAAAAACAAGCATTAGGATTGTCTTTCTGGAAACAGATCTTAATACCTAGTTGGTAGAGCATGTTGAGGGCTTCGAACGCCGAGTACGCTTTCGTGACGCGGTTGCGTTTGGTGTCAACTTCCATCAAGTCGATACCGTTGTAGCTGATTAGGTCACCGGGCTTGTTTGTTCTGAATAGTGGTAGAAGTAAGCGTCAGTCAACGCCGTAAACACCAAAATCGAATGCCAGTGAGAAACAGAGAGAGGGGAACATACGAGGTCGGATCGACACCGGCACTTTTCCCCACGAATCTCCACCGGAACGAGATGGAATCGCAATCATGCAGCATAGTGATGACCTCGAACTTAGCGTCGTAGTGCGGCTTGGGGCTGGACGCCACCTGGACCATGCCTGGAGGAGCAGTAGTAGACCCCCCGTTGTCTATGCCCTTGATGTACGGCGTGTCGATCGTCATGTTGAAGAGGAAGTTGACGGTGTTGTCGTACACCTCGATATTCTCTGCCGCCACCTTGCGGGCTGCCTCGACGCTGCCGCCGAAGGCGGCGCTCCACAGCTTGACGATTCCGGTAGCTTCTTCGTCGGTCAGGCACTTCTTGCCATAGCCGCGATTCTCGACGGGGGTGCCGAGAATGGGAGCGGCCAGGGCGGCGATGACGAGAGATGCAGTGGAGAGGAACTTCATCGTGAAAGTGGATATCTGGATTGATTTGAAGAGACACGAAAAGAAGCAGGAGGTGGTGTAGGAGGTAGTAGTGCTGGCCTAGGAAGTGACTTGATATCGACCGGGAGCGAGGGAGATAGTGCTGGCTTATAAGGCGCACCGGCGGAAGAGCCGAGATCCTCAGGTCCCACAGCCAGATGGATTTCCATGCCACCCGCGCCAGCCTCCCGATCGTAGAGATCCAACTCTAGCGAGCGGGGGCCTTGCAGAGATGCACAGTAAGTTGCTCGGCTTGCCATTGCTCCACCAATTGGGCTTCGGTGTGTGACGAAGGCACGCACGTTCTACCAACCAGTGGATTGGGTTTCGGTGTGCGACCATCAATGTGGTTTCACAACCGTGGGCCGTGGCTTGCTGTCTCGTCACACGAGCAGGACCAGTGGCGAGAACTGCTGCAATCGCGAGGCTAATGTACGGCCTTGCAGCCAACTCGGGGAGTGCACGTTCAGGTACTAGCTGATTGGTGCGACTTAGCGAATGATTCAGCCTGGGTATGCAAAGCCAGCCCTGTGCCACCGTGTACGATACACAACCAACTGTATTGTACAGTGTGGAGATTCGGTGTGCGACCACCAGCGCGTGCATAGCAGACTGTTTAGCCGGTGAAGCGGCGTCGACGAGCGTGGAGATTCATTGCCGCAAGAGGCTCGCCTCTAAACATGGCTATTTCCACAAAGCAAAGGCCGCATTCCAAACAGCACTTCCGACTACCGCCTGTGGACTGTAAAAGTTGGTAGGAGGCGAACGATCGATGATCCACCGACAGATTTCAAGAAAGGCCAAACCACAAGTTCCTACATAGCTCTGGTCGGTCGTGATCCCCTAGGGTACAAGGAATACGGCACTGCCGTATTAACTAAATGGGCACGCGTTATTACGGCCTGGGAGGATGACAGTCAAACGGCTCTAAAAGGGCTCCTAAAAGGGCTCTATTCCGGCTATTAAAGGGCTCCATAGTCTAAAAAGGCTGTATAGTCTAAAAAGGCTCTACATACAAGGGCTATAAGGGCATAGTTTATAATATGGCTGACCTCAACAATTACACGAGCGCAAACTGCTGCTTGAAATTGCTGTGGTTGTATGTATGATAGCTACTGCTACTCACCCCATATATATCCTCCCGTCCGCGCCTATGCAAAGCAAAACCCGCTTCTCCTCGCCTCTCCGCGCCTCTCCCCGCCTCCCATTGCTCCTACCACTCTTCCCGTTCTCCGGTCTTCATCCGGGTACCTTACCACAGATTCAACATGACCGGCGTGCTGAATAGTCAGTCTGTTGGTACCGGCGATGACAGTGGGGGTATCCGCAGCGAGGTAGGTCTGATACTTGTGTAGGATAGATAGCATAGGAGCACAATACGTACCTGCTGAAGGAATACCAGAGACTGAGAGAGCGAAGACGGTGAGGGAGGTGTTATTGAGGACAGAAGGAAGCGAGAGGAGGAGTTGCGGCGACAGGAGGAGCTGTGAGCGAGAGGTAGAGTGAGGAGATGTCAGCGAGAGGAGTACTCGCACGGCTGGGAATTAGCCCCCCCCCCACCCTCCATCCCCCATCTCCCCGCCCTTTGAATAGTTGCTGATGAACGAGGTTTCCTCAGTGCCGTAAGATAGGGTAACTGTTCATCCTCAGCCACCGATCCAATCTCAGATAATAACCTGCAGGAAGGTGGAGGTGGGGGGGGGGGGGGGGGGTGGGGCGGGTAAATTTCCGGCCGTGTGACTAGTTGTGTCGAGAGGAGGAGCTGTCGGCGTATGGGGAAAGTGAAGGAGGAGATGTTTGTGAGAGGAGGAAGAACAGTCGGCAATAGGAGGAGAGCGGAATCTGAGAGCGAGAGGAGCAGAGGAGGAGCCGTTGGCGACGGGAGGAGTGGGGGAGCTGCTGGCGAGAAGAGAAGCTGTTAGCCAGAGAAGGAACGAGAAGAGGAGCTGTCAGAAAGAGGAGGAAGTGATGGAGGAGCTGTAGGCGAGATGAAGAAGTGATGGGGAGCCATCAGCGAGGAGAGGAAGTGATGGAGGGGTGGAGGAGATGTATGTAGGAGCTGTCGGCGAGAGGATGACGTAGTGATGGAGTGCAGCGATGGAGGGGCGGTCAGCGAGAGGAAACGAACGTGGTTAGTAGTGAGCAACAGCATTTCTGGGAATAGCCGTTCGTGGCCATGGCTGCGTCGGCCAAATGAGGAGAGGGAGGCAGTTTTGCAGACCCGACGCATTCATAAATAACACCTTATTAATCAGGAATAGTGGATTTATTGAGTACAAAAATGGTCTATTTAGTGAAAAATGCTGCGTTTATAAATCGAAGCCCATTCTCACTCCCTCCGAAAGGCTAGGCCGAAGAAGGGAGGAACAGCGGGAGTGATCGTCCCCGGCTCCTCAACCTCAGAACCCTCCTCTTCCTCCAGCTCATCCTCTCGCCTGCTCTCTACCTGCCACGTCTCTGTTTAATCACCATTGCATTTGACCTTAGTAGATCATGGCAGATTACATATCCTTTTCCACCCGGCTGTCACTAACCGCTGGCCGCGAGCTCGACGCCGGTTCCCAATTGATCTCCGCGCAGCCCTCCCCGCTCGTCAACCCCCCCGCCCGTCAACCCCCCCGCCCTGCTCCATCTCCGCTCCACCCCTCCCGTCCAACACCGGCAAGAAAGAGAGAATGAATGAAGGTATTCGTTAGTCCATACCTCGTCCCTACCACCCGTGTGTTCAACTATGCCCTCCGGCCCCCCTCCCCGGTCGTCCTGTACCCTCTTTCTCGCCCTACTTCTCACGCTCTCCCGGTCTATTGCAGATAAGGTTGATGTCTAGGTGACTAGTCCAAGCAGAGTAGGGAGGAAGAGGGGTGGGGTCTCTTTGCCAGCTCTTGATTCTTCCGCCCTCTTCCGCCCTTTCCGCCCTTTCCGCTGCCGCCATTCTTGGCCCTACCATCTCCAGCCCTGCTGAAGGATATGTGGGGTCTACCGCGGCTATTTAGGCCGTCCGCTTCAGCCGCCGCTATCTCCGAGAGAATGTGCCGACGGGAGAGAGAGAGAGGTCTTTAGTTTACTTCGCATGCAGCCTATCTAGACTATGGCGAACCGTCACACTCTTTTCCTGCCCACTCTGGCTGGCCGGGGGCTGGTACCCCGCTACCGGCCAGCACGATGTGGCGCCGGATGTGCCGACGCGACTGTGTAGCCCTCCGGCCCCTCCCTGCAAAACCGCTGCCGCGAGTGATCCCGCGTGCTGGGCTGTCATCCGCGGAGAACAGGGTCCGACTCGTGCATGCACTGCGAATCTGCGAGAGGTGCACAATATCGATCCGAGGGAGAGAGAGAAAGTTAGCTGATAGCCGCAACCAGAGCTAGAATGTAGGAAACAACCTCCCTGTTGATGTTATGCGGTTTATTTCCTGTTCCGGTTTCACTGCTCCTTTTAAAATGTATGTTTGCATACTGCCCTCATTTTCTTCGTGGCTGCTCAGCATTTTCCATGGCTTCTCATCAGAATCAGCCTCGTTAGCTAAAGCCTTCAAGCCTTGTCTGAGGATGCGGCGATAGCCGTCGCCGTCGCCGGACTGGGCCGGGGGCTTGAAGGCTGAAGGCTGAAGGCTGAAGGCTAACGAGGCTGAATCTGGTGAGATGCCATAGCTAACGAGGCTGACTGGTGAGAAGCCATGGAAAATGCTGAGCAGCCACGAAAGAAATCAGCGCAGTATGCAAACAGACAGTGGAAAGTGGCAGTGACACCGAAACAGGAAATAAGACGCATAATATCAACACTCCAGACGAACGAGGCGTCGAGTGTGCATTCATGACGGACGGGTTCTCCCAGTACCGCGGATGCGCCTTTGGACCTGTGATCCACATAGCACCCCGTGGGGATATCGATGGAAGCCCCCGGACGAGGAAGCGGTAAACTATCTGCCTGGATAGCAGGGAAAGTCTGGTTCTAATGCTTCGGACCTTTGGTGAGTTGGGTCAGGAGAGCCGGGCCCCGGCCCCCGAGACTGGCGGACGAGGAATAGTCCTATAGACTACCGCGCCCAGCGCCCAGCCGAATAGCTGTGTATTTAGCTCTAGCTCTACCACCTCCTCTCGGGATGAGACCTGCCCGGGTTAGGACGATCGACAGGTACCGTAGTCAGGCCTAAAAACCCAGACTAGACTGGCGGGCTGGGCGAACCATTGCCGTCTCGAGTCTTGAGTCTTGACTCCCCGCTTCTGAGTAGAAGCCACGCGGCGCCCAATGAGCGAGTGGGTGGAACGAATGGAAGAACGTGCTCGCTGCATTGCGGCCAACTCCACCGAGATGCCTCCGTTGGTCAACGATTCTCTCGGCGGCAATTATTATTTTCCCTGACGGGCTGAATGTGCCATGGCACTGTCCTTCTCATCGCAGCTAATAGTACTGGTACCTAGCAACAACATCGTGGCATTTGGCGGTCACGGCTCATGTCGAAGCACTCAACTAACTGCGGCAACAGGCGGATTCTTGTTGACGCAACGCGGGGGTGATTGAAGCCTGATCAGTGATTGGATACCGTATGTACCAGTATAGAATGAATAGCAGCGAGTTTCAAGGACCGATGACAGTCTAGCAGAGTCTGGACTCTCGGGAGCCGGGAGTCGAAAGTGCACTGGAATGCGGGTGGAGAATCGAGATGAATGTTCAATAGGAGACTCGGAAACGTCTCCGAGCCTGCTCAATGCTCTCTCGTTGCCGCCAAGTTTGCCAAGAGCCGCGGGACCGGAGACGAAACTTTCGGAATGTCTTCGCCAGCCGTCACCTGGAGGCTGGAACTTGCATTCCGAGCGGTCTTTGAAGTTAGCTGTCTCTTGCCGCTGGCGGGTATCTGCGCCCCTCCATTCCGACAGCTGCACTTTCGCATTCAAATTTCTCATCCGTTGCCAAGCATTCCTGAGCTCTGTCATTCACATCAGCTGCGTCCTGTCATCTATGTAGACCATGACGGAGCGGTTCC